TTTTTTTCTGCATACCTCCTAATTCGAAGGATCAGCTGGTCTCTCAACAAAACTGATCAACTTCTCCCGACAGGAGTCAGGGTAAGGAGGACCCTCTTACCTCGACGGAAACAAATTGGATTCATGATGACAACTGTTTTTTTGCTGTTTGGCTGGTGAAATCTGGATTGTCTAGAAATTCGTGTGGATGTGTCGAAGCTCAGTAGCACTCAGACTGAATTATGTGCAATTGCATCAAGAGAGCTGGAGCAGCTGTTATCAGGACTGTGAACTCACTGGCAGCACACATGAAGGTGGAAATAATCTTGGAGAAGCTGTGAGCTCGACTTTTGGCGTAAAGAATCAATTCGGCTGTTTGGAGTTTCCATCAGAGGAATATATACCAGCGAGACTTTAAAAAGGCAGAAAACAGCAATTCACGAGTTCTGCTTGACCCAAACTGTGGCCTTGATGCCGGACTTATCTCAACTCCTCCTGGCATGTTTTGAAAAAACAAAGATGCTTTGACTGTTTCCTCACCCCTCCCTTCCCCAAGGCCGTGGACATGTGACAAAACCTCAACCGAGCTGATGATAAATAACACCTCTTATCTGGACAATGGCTGAGAGGGGGGCTCTGGACTATGCTACGACTTTCCCTTAAAAATTCAATGTCTTCACCGGCCTATGTAAATGTTAACGTCTGTTTATGTTGCTTTGCTGTGGTAGGTTTTTTTGATGCCACAAAACATACCCTGTCTAGGACACGGCATGAGAGATCTTTTTTTTATACCGTCTTTCCTCATGTTTTCTTCTCTTTTCTCATCTAAGCAAAATATTATTCTGAATAAGAGGGCCACACTTTTTATAGTAGCAGCTTAGTGCACTCCGCCCATCTTTCGGACGACTGTACGTACATATTCTCGTTGTATCTCGGTGCAATGCCAATAAAGTTTATTCTGATTCTGATTATTGCTCCACTTGGAGTGCCCACCATCTAGGCCCTCAGATGCTGATTAGATGTGCTAGCTCCATATAAAGTGAATCATTTCATCACTGTAGCAAATTACATTCAAAACTGAATATATCCTGCTGGGGGCTTAACTTGCTTTTGTTTGTGAATATAAACAGCAGTGGTTTTATTTTTACTTAGAGCTTCAGTCA